ATGCAATCCATTCCGCTTGGCCGGCCTCCGGCCGACAGATAGGGCACCGATGTATAAATTACTCTCGGGCCAATTAACATTGTCGCCCAACGAACGAGTGGACGCCTCTCTCTCTCTTTCTCTCTCGAGGAACCGGATTTTGAGCACCGTCGCCACCGTTACACACGTGGGGGTGGCTCGAACTCGAGATTAATTGAGACCTTGGTCCACCGACGTTACGTGGCGTTATCTGGAAATTCCACTCGCTTGAGAACCCGCTCGAGCTCCTGGCCGATTAATTAATTCTGCGCACGCAGATCGAACTTGAAAGGATGCGTTAAGCTGCATCCTCGCTGGAGCAACGAATTTTTTTTTTGATTGAACATCATCTTTGAACGTGCTTGCCTTTTGCCTTTTTTAACGCGAACTGCATGTTGCAAAAACCAATTTGATACGCATGATTGATATGCATTTATTAAACGATAGATTTTTAGGTTAGATCTAGTATTTCAATAATTATAATTATTTGTTGTTTGCTTTCTCTTCAGTCTTTTTCACATTGCGAGAGAAAACTAAGAGTAGTAAGATCGAAGTGATGAACACGTGCGAATGAATATTTTCAAAGATAATGTTCGGGAATCGACATTTTATTTAGTGGAAACAGAAGTAAATTTGGTTTATAAGCTTTGTCAGTTTGTTTATATAGATACGATCTAAATATACGTATTTCAAAACAGAATGTTTCTTTAAATTACTATTTTGAAATATATGTAGCAATACAAGTTATTCGTTGTTTTCATTTTCGTTTGTTTGTGTTGGTGCGTCACACATGACTTACTGTTCCGAGGATCGTAAATCGATGTGAAAAAAAGTTTACGAATAGACTGGTTAAAAGAGAGAACTTTCGATATATGACGCCATTATGGAAATTCTCGAATCTTTTAGAAGATTTTACGCCTTCGCAGATAAACTCGAGGAATGCGATCGAACGCGTTATTTAACTTCATCGAACGATAAAGTAAAGTACATATTTAACGATAAAATTCTGCTAATCTCTAAGATATTATTTTGCACGAATTTTAAAAATATATTATTACTTAGATATTCGTACGACGATAGATACTTGCGTATCTTAATCGTAGACATAAAATTACTTAAGACTAAAGAAAATAATAAAATTATATATACCGATTGGTTTAAGACACGTGGATTAGTGGTATATTAAAGGATATTAATTAAATCCTATATATTTGAATCCATTCTTCCTTGTCTGTTTTTCTCAACTTTGCATCCAACCCCATATTTCCACTGTCCAACGATTTAACAAACACGATAAAACCTCTCTTTTCCTGTTTCATATCTCAACTCTCACGAAAATTCTCAATCTTTAAGACGCTCTTATCCATTACACGAGGAGTACACGTGCCTATTTACCGTGTGTACGTTAATTTAAGGAAACAACTCGCGTCTAGTTGTCCCAACGGCGACACGGAGAAAAGATGACGCCGGCAACACCGGCAGCTTCTCTCAGCTTTACGCGATTACGCGATATTTCATTGTCTCTTTGAGGATTGTTGCGCAATTATCCACGGCCCATACACCCTTTTGGCGAGAGTTGTTGCGTAACGCCGTGCACGGTTTACCGGTATACCCATTTATAAACCCTTGGTCCCGGTCGCATTGACGATCGGTAACTTCTCGTTACCGCGACTGCTTCCACGAGAGCGGCCATTTCTTAACGGGTTTCCGTACACAGGAGTGCTGGCTGCACAACGTGTCGCGTACACAAGTATCTCCTCGGCCACTGTTCCGGCGGAGAGGTGATTTAGCAGCAGCGTCGCATCGTGTACCATACTTGCCGTGGATCGCGTCGATTTCACGTGTCACGGGTTGTATTATCGGTTCTCGGAAGGAAGGCATGCCTCGTTACACTACAACGAGCAAAAGGGTGACGTTTTAATCGAAGTTGTCAGTTCGACAACGAGGCAGCAACGGTTTCGGGAAAGGGGAAAGCGCTCTCTGGTAGCTCGCAGGTAGGATTACGCGTGACGCATGCGCGGGAGAAGTGTTGCGTTCGCCGAACGAATATACGTTGCTAATTCTTTCGACGAAAAAATTAATCTTGGGCGATTGATATCATCGTCGATTGTTATCGTTGCAAATCTATTTCGATATCGAATATTTTATATGTAATCTTTGATATTTAACGATTATATCAGAAATATATTAATTGTAATTGGTACATTAACTAAATATAATTTGATAAATTATGTTCGAAACTCGGTCGGTGGCTATCCAATTGAACGATCATATGATCGAACATGACCGATTCGTTGCGTGTTTCGTTACGTATAATAAGGCGGTGCAGAAAGATCTCGCTTTTCCTTTTTTTAAAATCGAATACGCTGAACGTCTACCACCCGCGGTTCCCGATAATAACACAAGTATAGGAAGATTAGAAATGGAAGATGAATCGGAATACGAAACAATTCGATCAGGAAGCTCTCTCGCGTGGTCACATTGGGAGAAAGGGCATTCGTCTGCGTTCGTAATCGTTGTCTTCTCACAACAGGCAACAGTCGGCAGGATCGTTTAATATTCTTTAACCATTTTTCCTCGCTCGCTAGACAACCGAGCGAGGGAGCGAAGGAGAGGGAACTTTCCCTGTTGATAGGTTCGGCGTAGAGGGAGACACGCGCTTCGAACGAGTTCGAAAGATTAGCTTCGACTCGCTCCCACGCCTCATCTCTTTATCGCATCATCGCGGCTAGATTGAATCTCCGCCGCTTCCAGACTCCTCTCGAACGATAAAAGCAAGTCGGTCCGCGCTGTCGATCCGCGCTCGCCAGCGAAAACATGCAAACTCTGTTAGAGGCAGACTTATTAAGGAAGAGATATTCGCCTCTCGTTTCCGCGTTTTACATTGAATATCTCGCGTATTCTCCGTGGGCCAAGGAGAATTGATGTCCTCGCGGACGAGCCGCTTATCGATTTACCCGTGGAAGACCGTAAATCAGGGGAAATATGAACGAAACCGAGAGATAAGCACCTGATGTATTCGCGGCGTGACGGTGAGCGATGATGACGTTAAATACGATATTCGAAACCTCGGTTTTTCAGCTTCGCGTGGCGGCGATGCAACGTGTAAGGATGATCTATGTGTCCCGCATTTTCTGAACGATTATTATTGATTTAGTAGTCTTGACCGTTTTCCGAGTTACTCGTACTTTCCAAGTTGCCGATTTACAGTTATCATTTGAAATTCAATCGTTCGCCTTATGAGACGATTTTAACTCTCCGTAACAAAATTTTGATTTTGATTCGTGAAGATCTAATTTTCTATTCTGTGGCGAATGCTATAGCTGGAAAAGAATTTTCGTTAGCATATATCCGGCTTTTTTTTTATATATCCATCAGAAATCCTTTCAATTTTTGAAACGATTCCAATTCCTCAAATAAATTCATATAAAATATTCCTTAAAAACCTACAAAATTATCTCAATTCGAAAACCATCGAATTAGAAATTCGTGAAATAAGATTTCATCAGAACCAATTTCGACAATTAATTTTTACCAAATCCTCGGCGGAAAGCAACGGTATATCGCTATTTCCAAAGCGATCGATAATCTTACCGCGATCCCTTCTCGAGGGATGAGGTTTCATCCCAGGAAGCGTAATCCGTTGCTCGCGTGCGAGGATGGAAACGGGTCCGTAAGTCACCGCCTCGTGACTCACGTTCACGTTCCGCGGATCGTTCGAAGCGTGTGTCTCGTTGCGTTTCAGCGAAAAGGAGGAAAGCAGGAAGTTTGAAAGCGCGCATTATGAAATCGGAGATATTACGCGAGGAAGTTGTATTCACCTGGATCTTATGGGCACGGTCCGGCAGAGTGCAGTGGTGGTGAAGCGTGGCGTAAAATATCATCGTTATGCACCGCTCCGGGTTAATATCAGCCTTGGCGAGGCGCCGTGCCGCGATATTTACTATAAGCCCCATTGTTTTATGCGGCGCTGAACGCTGCCCGACAGCCGCTGATACAGTTGTACGAGCGGCGCACCTCCGCGCTACCGCGGAACTCCGCCGGTTGCGAAATCGAATTGAATGACCGCTCGCCGCCACGCTGTGTGCGCTCGCCTTCGATCCGCCTCGCCTTTTCTTTTCCTCTTTTTTTTCTTTCTTTCCTTTTTTTTTTTTTTTTTTTTCTATCGATCCTCGACTCCCGATTTTCCCATCGTAGATCAACGCAGAATTAATCAGCTTCTTGCGAAACAGGTTCTCGCTCGTGACGCTTGCCTCCAGATCCCCGAACCGAACAGCGCTGCTGTTCTCTCTCTCTCTCTCTCTCTCTCTCTCTGTGTGTGCTCTCGTTCGAGGGGAATTAGATCAGCCGGGGACACGGAGATAATGTCGCGGCTGTGTTGCGATTCGAGTTGCCGGGTTTTCTTTTTTTTTATTCGATAGGTTTACGAGGCGAGTAACTCCTTCGCGTAATTTCGAGATTGTTGCGTTTAGTCGAGATCAGGAATGATGTAACTCGTTTACTCGGGGATTTAAAATAACGAATTTGTGGGGAATAGATGGAGTAGAAGGAATAGGAGGAGAAAGAATGAAAGTGTTATCGGGGAATTTCATTTTTCGAGATTGCTGAGGGGCAGAGAGAGAGAGAGAGAAAGAGAGAGACTTGCGTGAATCAGACATCCTGATAAATGTGGCTATTTACGGAAACCGTGGATACCGAAGCTCGAAGATAGATATAATAACAAATGATCTCATTTCCACGTTTCGAGTGGAACAAAAATTTGGAATAATCGGATTAAGGATACTAAATCATTTTCCAGCTTATCTAAATTGTTCCTCGTGTATCTAATATCCCGAACAGCTTCCACCTTATCACTTTGGATAAACGCGAATCCACTCCTCTAGATTAAACGAAATAAAAACTTCGATTTATCAACTTGTTACTTCATCCATATTCCTATCTCTCCTGACTTTCAACATTTTTCTTTTCTTTTTTTTTTACAGGTAATACCGGCAGAGCGACGTGGGCCAGAGAAAGAAGAGACCTGGACCCTGGCCCCGGACCAAAGCGGGGACACGTGTACGTTCTTCGACGACGTATCTGACGCGAAACCTAAACCGATCCAAGATGCGGACAATCCGCAATCTCGGATCCTCGATCCTTGCGAGACCCAGCAAACCAGCCAACAATTCCCCCAAGAGCATCCAGAGACCGGAACGTTGCCGCGTAGCCAGGAGACGAGGAAGAGCAAAACGAAAAAGGTGAAGAGTTACCTGAGGAAGTGCAAAGGCGCTCTGTCCAAAGGTGACGAGGTGTCCACGGAGAAGAAACGGCAGGAGCACTGTACCTCCTGGTACCTGGACGAGTCCCATCAAGAGGACCCGGACAACACCTTCCACCTTGCGAAACAGTCGGAATTCCCGGATGAGAGGATCGCGGAGGAGGCCTCCTCCGCTCTGACGACAGCGGACGAGGACGGAAGAAGGGGGCCGTTGGAAGACGTGTCCTCCCCGGTGACCAATCTCTCGAAGGAGGTGGAAGGAGGTGGCGAGGCCAACGACGAAACTCTGGCGAGGCTGGGCGAGGACGAGGGCCGGGCGAGCGAGCTGAGGAGGAGCCGGACGTCCTTGTACGAGGACGCCAGGGATTCCATGAACGACAGAGAGTGCATTGGTGAGGAGAGTTGCAAGCGGAACGACGCGATCTCCCTCGAGACCCTGACCACGGAGGAAATCACGAATTTGAACAAGTGTGACTCGAACGACACACTGATTGCGGAAGTGGCGGCCAACGGCCCGCCTCTCGTCGAGGAGGGAAAGGAGGAAGAGAGCGAGGAGGTGGACGGCGAGACGCTGCGGGCCCTGTCTCTGTTTGGGGTGAGTAGACAGATATGCACGATCGTGCGACTCTCGTTCGGTGCGGACGCGAGCTCATAACGCGAGATCTAGATCGATAAACCGGGCACGCAGATCTAGGCGATCGAGACAGACAGGCCTAGTATCGGAGGCCTAACGGAACCCGGCAGGGAAAAGGAATGCCTATTTGAATACAAAACCGCTTGCTCGCGTGCACGGTAGTGGAAGCAAATTGCAACACAGGGGGAGGGGATAATTTATGCTCTTAATGGACTTGTGCGCGATGATTAAAACCAGTAATTTTCCAGGGAAACGTGTTTTTCGATCAGGTTGATGATTTATTTTGAATTACGAGACAGACAGACATGGATACAGGTACGGTTAATAAAATTTGAATTTTATGGAGATGGGATGATTGGAAGCGAAGGTGCTTGAAATTTTTTTTTTTTTTTTTTTTGGAAGAATTATAGTATATTTAAGCTTTAATTGTTCGTTCGTAAATACATATTTTTACATATTTTTCTAATATTAGTTTTATTTCTATTTAAATTTTACAAACAAATTTAATTTAATAAAAAAATTATTTTGAGTAAAAGTTTTGATTATGGTATATAATATTGAAAATTAAAAAAGTTTGGAATAGTTCCATAATCTATAGAAAAAAGAGATTGAAATACGATATTGAAATCGTATCATATTTATTATTTAATGTAGAACAATCTTTTTCAGCTTAATTTTTTCGAATAAGCAATAGTAATTATTAAAAAGCTAGGAAAAAATTATTTTTTTATATAGAGATACATAATATAAATTTCATTATGATATAAAGAATTATAAATGTTGAAAGTATTAATTTTAATATTATATATATAAAATATTACGAATAGATAAGTAAAATAATTTATTATCGAAATTTCATAATTTTCGATAAATATTATTATATTCTGTTTTATATTTTTATTAATAAGTAGATATTTTTTTCATTTCAAATTTCACATTCTCGAATTGAAATTTAAAAATATTCTTCGAAACCAGGAAGACCGTATGTTTTGTCATCGTAGAATTTACAAGAATACGCGAGTTCGTCAATTTCCCTAGCTTTCGATCCTTGTCTCGCATCTAAATTCGCGTGGGCGTAACGCGGCGTGAATTTGTCTCGTTTATCGATCGTGCTTTATCGATGACAGTCGGCGTGGCAACATGACTTGCTTGGGATTCGAGTTCATATGCCGGTGCGGGCCACTCGATTGACAAACGACGAGGCTGGGCGTTTCGCGACGCTTATGCCGAAAGGTGCGCCACGTTCCTCACGGTGCAACAATGTGCGCGCCACATGCTGCGCTTGGAACGTTCGTTGATCGTCTTGGAAAAACGTAAAGCTTGTGGTTGAACGAACGTCCTCGTCGATAAATGCCACGCGACCGTTGTAATTGAAGTTCGAAACGAAGAGAGTTGTGTGATTTTTTGTTTCCTTTCTGTTTTTTGTTTTCGTTGAGAGATTGAGAAAGTTGGCTGGATCGTTTAGAGTGTTGTTGGATTCTTTGTTTTATATGTGTCTCGAAGTCTCAAGGAAATTTTAAGAAAGATATATTGTATAATAACATTCGAATTGTTTTTGTAATATTTTGTAATATTTCTTTGGAGCATTATTGGAATATATTATATTTTACACGTGACAAATTTTTTTCGCGTTAGAAAATTATAAAGTCTTTCAAAGTTTCAAAATTTATAATAAATAATAAAAATTAAAAATATAGAAGATGTTCGGAAAAAGGCTGAATCTTATGTATCATGTTTGAAAATCTAGAAATTTATAACACAAATTGCATCCATCACTTTTACAATGATTCTAATAAATTTCTTTCTAACCTCCAAATTTTGTCCATTATTTAAGAAATTTTTAAAATCAATTTATTCTTCTTGCTTATAAAATTTCTAAAAGATTTGACAGAAGGAATACTTACTTCAGAGTGTTCTGATTTTTTATTCAACAAAAATTCTAACCCTCCCATACAATACACGCATCATTTTAAAAATCCCATCGCGCTTTCACCCAGGAAACAATCACCATCGATCCACACAATGCGCTCCGTGTCTTGGAATCGTTTCATCGGTCGTTCTTTTACATTCTTTCGTGGTAACAGGAACATTCGAGGTGTGGGCAGGCACACAGCATTCCGCGCTATGCAAATCGATCGATAATTGATAGGGAATAATAGCACAGTGTCCGGGCGATGCTTCGATTATTAGATGTCAGAGTGAAACACAAACATGGTGGATTTTTATGAAATGTTCGCATAGTCCGTATAGAAATGTAAGCAGCGTCTCAATATTATCTTATAATTCGTTAGAAATTATACTAGAAAGATTCTATATCCCAAAATATTAGATTTAAAATATTAAATCTAGACATATAAATATAACAGTCCGTAACGAATAATAATTTTCAATGACGTAATAATATTCCTAACAAGTGGCTGTTTTATTCGACGCGAAAATATTAAAAAATAACTATAAACGTTTCTTTTCTCTAAAAAAGGAAAATCTAAAGGAGGATATAAAGGATATAAAAAACATATTACGTAACAATCTCAAAAAATTTCATCAATTCGTTAAATAATAGCATATAGTGGTTATGTAGAGAAAGATATAAGAGGTTAAATTATGGTCCAATACAAATAAGTGATTTCGTGTAGTACATTTATGCGATACATTTGTGTGTTCTCTAATGACAAAATGCGCACGACTTCGCTACGAAAATTACCGAAAAGTACCGAATTGTTACGAATCGAATTGTAACGGTCTACGTTCGTGTGTCTTTAGTCTTGTGTTTCTAATAGCAAAGCATCGTATCGTTCGTGCGAAAATTATCGAAAAGTGCCAAACTGTTACAAGCCTGTAATAACCGTGTCGTTTCTGTTCATCTATATTAATTCCACTTGTCTCCGTGCGAATACTCAATGTGTCGGCTTCGCTTGAGCCAACAGCCAACAGGTAGGCAGTAGGTGGCCGCGTTTGCACTGGCATTAGAGTGTTCAGTGGGCCGAGAGTGGCCGACAGCGTGATTCCGCGGCACGTACGCATCATGGGGTGGCGTAAATCTGATCAGTCGACAGAGTCGATCGCCGCTGAAACGCTACCCGATCATCAGTCGTGAAAGTGTAGCCGGGGAAAATGATCAGCCGTGTCCGCCACGCATGCACGCATGTAGGCACGCATTCGATTCGATCCTACCTTTCGTCCTTCTTGAATCTTCTCGTTCGTTTTCAAATGTTCTCGCGCACGCGCATAGCAGCATCGTGAACCCGTTACATCGGTAGGATTATAGATTAGACCGCGCCTGCGCGCGTGAAAAAACGATAAGCGGGATACGGGTTCGGGATTTATTGTAATTGGCGGTAATGACGGTTTTACGCCATAGCTGCCATCATTAAATGGCCGAGGCATGGACGCTTCGTTGAGTTCCGTGTTTTCCGTGTTTAAAACCGCGCGGAGACTTGATGAATGTGCATGGATGTTGGAATAATGTATATAATATATATTGAGCAATGGTGATTTTTCGATTTCTTTGAGAAGTATAACATAATGTCTGGATGGCAGGTTAATCAATTAATTATTATAAAGATAAAAAATATGTATGTATAAAGTTTATATTTATATAGAATATAGAATATAGAATATATATAATACTAATGTTTATAATTATAATCATTAGAGTTCTATTATTCATTGATGCGGTGAAAGCAATTATATCAATTCAATTAAAAGTAATTAGATTCTTAAATCTTTGAGTTCGATTCAATTCTAGCTGATTATTCTCAGTTAAATTAGATAATTGTTTTCAAACAAAATTCGATTTTAATTTCACCTATATTTCAACAATATCCAAGGATTGTTAATAAACTGCCATCATTTTGTTCAATGTCGTTTCATTTTATCAAACATATAATATTCCTCCGTAACTTTGACCAAGTTTCTTTATTAGTATCGTATACCAGTTGTTTAAATATGAAAGATATTGTATAAGCCGCGACAAGAAGATCTCGAGTATTGGATAAAGGATCGTTTCTTCATTGAACCGTGGCGATCGCGAGTTTGTCGATCGAATTTTGCCGAGAGAGAGAAGGGAAGGAAGAAAGCCTTGGCACGGGATTATTCCGCGTGACTTCCGATCGGAATATAGTTTAGCGGGCCATTCTTTTCAGTCGGTGACTTTCGCCATGGTGAAGAGAGTTGAGCAATTTCTTCTCTCCCTGGATGATCGCGGCCCGAGGCGGCACGATAATAAGGTGTCAACGTTCACGGACCCCGGTCTCGTGTCAGATCATCGTTTCCGGGTTATGCTCGTGCGAATAACTATGCCCCGGTGTATTCGTTCGATTCAATCGCGGTCAATCGTGTGTTTCTTACGATGATGATCTGTTAGAATGAAAAGGGCCGATTTGGAGCGAGATTGTTGTGAGATTTTGTCGAATTTATTCCTTGAGAAATTTCACTGTGGAGATATTTTATGTAACATGAGACATTGAAAATTCATTGGAAAAATATTAAATTTATTTTATTGAAAATGAAAGATATTATTTACAGAGATGTTTTAGATTATCGTTTGTTGTAATTTTTAAGAAAGTTAAAATATTCTATATTCGTATTCATATTTTCTTTGATAAATATGTAATAAAATATTACATTTATTTTAACATTATTTTACATTTATTAAAAATAGAGAATATGATTATTTCGTTTAAATGTTTCTAACATTATATAAATATTTATTTTTAGATAGAAATATAATAATATTTAGAAATACATTAAATAAAGAAAATTAATATTGTCTCTATTTTAACATGTTAAGTTATAAAATAACTGATGTTCATTCTAAGATCATTTTAATTCCTCAGAACATTAATTAGCTTAAATTTTGACAGAAATTATTCTTTTTTTTTTTATAACAATTCGGCTGATTCTCAAATTTTAAAAGCGAAAGTCAGATCAATCGATATAGAAATCCAACGCACGTAATA